TTGTACTGTAGCGCGATTTACTTCAAAAACAAAAAAAATCAAACCAAAACCAGAAGCCAAACACATTACTGGAGAAAGCTTTTTGGTGTAGGAATGTCATCTGTCAGCTTTTTCAGCTGCAGTAGGCAAAGTACAGGATGGAGAATAGGAGACTACTGTTCTTTCTTGCTCTATATAGTGTATCTCAGCAGCTTTAGGGTAAGTAAAGAATGTGGGAGATTGAGTAGGAAGAAAGAGGACTTACCTGAGGCTCTAAACAAGATGCCTTTTTTCTCACAACAAACTCATGTGGAATACCATAAACTGTTTAAGAATGTACATCCTTTTCAGATTGGATGCTCAGGAGTTTTGTTGCTGGGGTTCTGTGTGTGTGGTGGCTGTGTCTGGGCTCTATTTTGTGAAATACATGATGAAACTTTGTCTGAGATTATGTTCACAACTCTGCAGTGGTAGAATACATTTAGATGGAAAACAAAGTTTCCTGAGTTAGCTCTGTAACAGTGTGCATGCAAGAAGGTAAGGAATGTTTGAATCAGTTTTTGCCAGTGCAGCAGTTCTCATTTCAGCCTGGAATATCTTAATTGTACTTAGTAAGGGGGCTGAGCTCTGTGGGGTTTTGTTGGATTAGTCAAAGATGTTTCTCCCACCCCCATGCTCTGTTAGTTTACTGTAAATACTTCTAAAGTGGCAGAGTGAGCATGTGCCTATACCTTAGGTACTCCAGCTCATTATTTGTTTTTCACTGGAAGTTTCCAGTAGTCAGTGGTTTTTTTTCGTGATGGAGATGACTCTCACAGTATGAGACTTAACAGTTTCTGCTTCTATAGACTGCTGTGTGGTGGTAACCCTTGACAAGATCTGGGCAAGGAAGTGGAAGGAAATGGAATAATGGGGCAGCTGTTTGCTCAGTTGACTAGAATTCAGTCCTGACAAGAAGATGAGTAAAAAAAAACTAATGAACGTGGCTTCATTGCATAGTTATCAATAATTGAATATTATCTGATTTTGTCAAAATACTGTGCTTTAATTACAGGTAGTTTTTTTACCTGTCTTCAGATGCTCCTGTATCTCACTGTGCTTGCAAAGACAAAGAAGGCCGTTCTGTTTGATACTGTGTCTAGTTACAGAAATGTTAAGCGAAAGTAAAAATAGATGAATGACTCACCTAGTTAGATAATTTCAAGAACTGTACTACAGAGCACTTGTAGTATTATTACTATGCTGAAACCAGCAAAAAAAAATTAAACTAGGTTTTAAAATAATGAGGTTTTAGGTGGTATAAGAACAAATAAAAATAAGTAAATAATTACAGAATACGTTGAACCTGCATGACTGTATTATAGTAGTTCTTGTTTGTAAGTGCTAAAACTATTATGTATCCTCTGTACTTTAACCAGCAGAAGGTATAAAGGAAGCAAAGAAAAAGCACATTGAGTTATCTAGATGGACTGAGAAAAGTCTGGTTGTGTGCTCACAACTAATCCGGATCAGGTGATTCCTCAATCCTGGACATTAAATGTTTTTGGTCTACTGGTTTGGTTCATGTCCCAGTTCCAAAGTGTGTTTCAAGAGACCTCTGCTGGAGGGCTGCCTCAGGGCTGGTAACGTGGCCTTCCTCAGACAGATCAGCAGATCAGCAGAGAAGAATAGAACTCAGGTTTTTATTTTGGTTTATTTTGTGTAGTGTGAGTGTAAAAACTAAACTATGTAAATATTTCATCTACCCTGCTTACAGCTTTCCTTTTGGTTCTGGAAGTGAGAACAAAGAGAGAGACAGTCTCCTGGTGCTTAGCGATAGCATCTCTGCTGGCTTCCCAGAGCTGTGAAAGAAGGGTGCTTGTGGATGATGAGCACGTCTTGTACCTGGGCAGTAGTTTAGGACAAAGATTCTGAGATAGGAAGGTTGTGCCCAGGAAACTAAAGAACTGAATGATGCACTTGACTATGCTGGAAACTTACCTGAGAATGGAAGACAGACAGTGGAAGGAGGTGGGAACTGAGGCCAGTGCTGTAGAATCAGATGGAAATAGACTGGAAATAACTGGAAGAATAGTGGATAGTGTGGGGTTCAGGAGAGGGGGCACTAAGATTGCCTAAGCAAACAGTTTGAGATGGGTAGTGGAAAGAAAAATCTAGTAAGTGAAAATTGTAAATGACTAAATATAGAAGGTGGTCAGGAAGAAAGCACAGATGAGGCTGAACCCACCTGAGCTTCAACTAAGATTTCAGTCCTCTTCTGTAGGAGGTGGTGGTGGGAGAAGTGTTTCTGAACCCATTGGTCAAGTATTGGTTCTCACTTATTGCTGGTTTACATGTAGGATAGCTTCTGCTGCTTTTCATCAGCCTGTTCAAGTAGTGTGGTTTGCAAGAAAGTTTGTGATTCTTCATGTTGTAAGTATGCAGGTGTGGCATTTTGTTGTTGAGTTTATTTTGTTTGTTTGGGGTTTTTTAAAGCTAGGTAATTACACTGTAAGTCTTGCAATCCTGTCATCTCAGTTGTGTACTTTCAATGGGAAAGGCTTATGCATGCTTTTTGTGTGTGTGTATACATCTATTTATGCAACACAGCCCCCTTCTGTCAGTTTTGTTTTCTTGGCTGTTCTGTCCTCCCTACCCTCAGCTTCCTCATACAGTTTCTAAGCTGTTTCTAAATGTGCTGTAAACCACACAGCGTTATTGTTGGTCTCCTTTTGTACTCCCATCCATATTGTGGATCCCATGCTTTAGGGGAAATTATATGTTACTCCAACTAAAGTCTTTTCTGCTGTTTTCCTCAGAGCCACAGTTTGTCTTATAACACTCTTAATAAAATATCATAAAAGACTGGCTGAAAGAACTATCTGGTAAAGATTTATCACCAGAATAAAAGCTGTTAGTTGTATCTGTCTCTTGTTTTAACTTGGTAGCTTTAAGATCAGGTCAAGTGAGTGTGTGAAAGAATAGGGATGCACAGCTGAGGTGCATGGCAAGACAGCAGCTGCATGGATTTGGAAACATCTTTGTTGGTTTTGGAACTGACCTTTCCTGCATTATTTTTTCCGAGAGGAAAGTGTAAGGCATGCTGGATGTTTGCCATATTTTTTGTAAGTACTAATAAATTATGGTAGCCTTTTCCAGTGAAAAACTGGCTTATTTACACCTGCTGCAGCTCTGTGTTTTCCCTTTGTTTTAAAGCTAAGTAATATTGTTTGTCCTGTTGCCATCTTGTGGAACACACTTCCTCTTCTCCTAGGTCTCCTTCCGTAGCTCTCTGAGTTTTTGGCTTGTAGCTGAGAGTTCATTCTGAAGCAGTATCAGGTTTTTGATTTTATTTTTCTCCGCTTAATCTAGATTGTTCATAGTAAAACATTTGCTTAGTTTCAGAAAAGTTGAACAGTGTGAATCGTGATGATGCCCTTCAACAGGTTAGAACTGCTTCTTTGAAAATAAGTTGCATAATTAAAAAATAAGTTGCATATTAAAAAGGGAAATCCATTTGTTAAGATCTTCCTGTGCTTGTGGAAGATTATTTCTTTAGTAACTTTTTTCTTAAAACGCGAAACACTTAAAAGTGGAAGCCACGTATTCAATTTACTATGATTTAAGATAATTGCTATCAAATTGTAGTCGTTTGAAATTATTTCAGTGCTTTTCCTCCCATGCAGATAGAGACATCTGAAATGATTATGTGTGAGATGGGTTAACTTGGTAGGTATGTGAATGGCTTGTCTATGAAGAGCAGCGAAGTTAGGACCTGTCACTCTGGAAAAGAAATGGTGTGGCAGGGAGGCATGTGATAGAGGCTTACGAAATCACAACAGATGTGGAGACAGTGGACAGAAATTGGCAACTCATCTCTGCCAGTACATAAACTAGGGGATCTCAAACAAAGCTAGCATGAACAGATTTAAGCAAAATAAAAAGTCCAGTCCCTGACCTTGTACAGTGGGTAGTAGACCTGTGGAATTAATTGATAAAGGGTGTTGTGGTTGCTAAAAGTTTGTAGACTTCAAGGGAGTCATGGTGAGTTTGTGAAGGATAAATGGGTTGAGATTGAGTAAACATAGAAAATTGCATCTGGCTTAGCAAGTTCTCCTAGGGGAAAATGGGAGCGCATTTGGCAAATATATTATGTTCTCGCTCTTAGATGGTATCGACTTGTAGCTATTGCTAAAGATCATGATGCTAATAGAAATGGATCTCGTACTCATCCAGTATAGCTGCTCTCAAGCACTTTTCTTATATCCTGTTGCTAAAGGTGATCATGATTTTCTAGTTTTCTAATCCTGATGTATAAAAATAAACCATTAGCACACCAGAGGGTGGGAAAAAAGTCAAAACATGTCTCCTTCCTTACAAGGCACTTAGGGAGAGCTTAGTTCGTAGTTCATACTTTTTTCCTCTGTCCCTAGTGAAAACTGTAAATGTGAGGCCACAGAAACAATAGGAAAATATTGCATACAGTTATGGGAAAGGCCACTGAAGGTGAGGCTAGTGCAGAGGAATTTTACTTGCATAATTAAATGGTGCCATTTCAAGGAACGAATTTGAGACTTCAGCAGCTGTAGAACTGCCTGTAATACCTACCCTGTTCATTGTGTATCTGTCTTGCATATTTATATGTTAACAAGATTCCTGATCTCTTGGATTTGGTTTACCAGGAGTGGAGCACTAAGTAACTAGTCTTTGTGAAAAACACAAGTAGTTGAGCTCTGTCAGTTTAAGATTTTGATAGAATTGGTTCTTGCAGCCTGAGTGCCCTATGAGGGTCTGCCACCTTTCCTTCTATTTATTTATATCTTAGTTTTCCCCTTTCTCCTGCTAAGTCAAAATGATCTCCCCTGTCAGTTTTGCTCACTGATGGAAGTGAATGTTCCATGCAATACAGTCTGCTTATTGTATCACTGTGGAAGTCAAAATCTGAAAGGTGAAATAGTGAATCATGTTTGTTTCTATTATTCTGACTACTGCTGAATGAATTACAAAGAATATTTCCACTTTGTGTCTTCTAGGTACGTTTCTCATATGCGCGGATGAAGTATCTCTTCATCTCTTGGTTAGTAGTATTTATTGGCAGCTGGGTTATGTATGTTCAGTACTCTACCTACACAGAACTATGCAGAGGACATGACTGTAGGAAAATAATAGTAAGTATATTTAGCATCACTTTAAGTGTTTGTTGTGCCTAATTCCACAGTCAATTCAGTCAGTGCCACATGTAAATTAATCCAAATTAATGTAAATTAATCAAATTCTGATACTCCATCATGTTGAAGTAAGATTACACCTTCAGTTACAAATAAAACAGTTGTGTCTCTTAACCTTACTTTGGTATAAGGTCATTAAAATTGTTTTCTTAGATTTTTCTTTCAAGAGTCAGGTGTTGGGAGAGAGAGAGTTGTTGCTTAGTTTCTTGGACAACTTGTTAAATATTTTTCTCCCTTTTTTTTAAGTGTGATAAATACAAGACTGGAGTTATTGATGGATCAGCATGTAGCAGCCTTTGTGCTAAAGAAACATTATATTTTGGAAAATGTTTGTCAACAAAGCCCCATAATCAGGTAAGGTTTTACTCATCCAACCTAGTTTTATTATTTCCCACTGAAATGCCATTGCCTTCAATTTCAAATAGCCCTTAGTGTTAGCAAGTTGTATCTGTTTAATACGGATTATTTCAAACTTTATTTGCTGTGACATGCAGAGCATTGTTTATGTATGTGTGTATAATATATGGGTATATTGTATATTAATATTATATACAATATGTACCTCATTATTGTATATTAATCCTTTATGTAGAGGAGTATATTACTATTTTATAATACATATATTTTAGAAACACATTATATATATAAAAATACTGTCTCCGTCTGCATTTTTTCAAAATAACTATACTTTTTTACAGCATACTTCTCTGCTGCCCTGCTTCACAAATAGAAGCAGCAGCCTCTTAACAACCCACACAAAGGTGGTAATAATGTGTATATATACTGTTTATAAAGTTCTCTTTGTATTTTCACAGTGTAGTAGTGTCTCGTAAGTTACCTGCAGTAGCGTATTGAATTCAAAGTTGTTGTCTGAAGGTGTTCTGTGCATTGTCTATATAGATCAGTTTTCTAATCTGTGTTGCTGCTTGACTCTTCAAGCAGTGGTTGGAGTGCGGGTGGTCTTTAGATGATGGACTTCTGCAGTGGGTTTTTACCTTTTTCCCCCTCTTTTCCTGCATAGATGTATTTAGGAATCTGGGGAAATCTTCAAGGTATTATAAAATGCCAGATGGAAGAAGCTGCCCAACTTGATTTTGGTACTGACCCAGAACCAAGGAAGGAAATGGTACTGTTTGATAAACCAACAAGAGGAACTACTGTTGAGAAATTTAAAGAAATGGTGTATGGTCTTTTTAAAGTAAGTATATGCTTATTCTATTGTGACAAAAAAAGATAGAGAGAAGGCCCTGTACTGAGCCTTGTTCAAGTGCATGTTAGAAAAGTAATCAGGACAAAAATATTTTTTCCTGGAGGTGCCTATTTTGAAGTTTGAAGTAACTAATTATAATTTTTACCCTTAATTTTAGCAGAGGGAAGCTGGTATGCATCTTGCATGTCTACAGTATTCATTTGAATTTGTATTGAAAATATGATAGAAATATTTCGTGCCCCCACTTTTGGGGTTATGTAACCAAGTACAATGACTGAAGCATAATTTGAAAACTCTTCATGCTTGGGAAGAATTATTGTGATAACTGAGCAAACAAGAATCTCTTTAGCCGGAATTACCGGTTTGTGCTGTGTTACATTAATGTGATACTTATTTGTATGGCCTTAATGCTACCCCAGAATTTTCACAGTATAATCACTTTGCTGTGTAAGTACTGATTTGGGGTTTTCTTTCTTAAAATACTGTTGCTGTTATCATAGCTCTTACATGTGTTGCGTGATCTAGTCGAGAGGTGGTGTCCCTGGCGACAGGGAGGCTGGATTAAAATGATCTCTAGGGTCCCTTCCAGCCTAGGCCATTCTATGATTTCCAGTGATGAAAGTAACACTGTTCTAGCTGAGTGAACATGTGTACACATGCACACACACGTAACATAACTATGTAAAGTTGTTGACAGTTGACATGCATTGCGGTAGCTTTGTCTCTGAGAATGGGTGAGCAACAGGTGTGTTTCAGAGTAGTTTTTAGGAGAACTTGCCAAAGTTTCTTTCCATGTTCATCAGTGGTAGATGAAAATACATCAGTTCTGATTCCAGCAATGGCTTCTTTCTCTGTATCGATGCAATGGAGGTGGTGATATCAAGTAATAAAATACAATATTCCAGTACACTTACCATGTGGGATTTGTATGCAGTGTGTCTTGGTGCTTTTTATAGCTGGCCAAAATGTAGATGCTACTATAATCTCTCTATACTTGTAAGGTTTCATCAGCTGAAAGCTAAACCTGATCTAAACTTTTGAATTCTACATGATTTTTCTAAGAGAATATGTAACAAGCTACTTTATGATTTTTCTAAACACTGATCTAAGAATGAATTTTACTGTTTGTATTTTGAAATGCAAAGAACACTACTTCTGGAAGATCATACACTTGGTGCCTTTGAAAACAGATCAAAAAGGAAGCTCTTCAGGCACCTGATAGCAAGTCATGCAACATCTGTAACTGAAAACTGGAACATAATATGCCCTACCGTAGAAGGAGAATAACAGATGTATTGGTGGCAGTTAATGAAATCATATTTAATGGTTTTTTGTTTGTTGCTTTTAGGCAAAATTGGGTGAACAAGGAAATCTTTCAGAACTGGTTAATCTCATCCTGTCTTTTGCTGATGGAAACAAAGATGGTCGAGTTTCTCTGCCAGAAGCGAAATCTGTATGGGCACTTCTGCAGCTAGAGGAGTTTCTGTTAATGGTGATATTGCAGGACAAAGAACATACTCCCAAGTTGTTGGGGTTTTGTGGGGATCTATATGTGACCGAAAGAGTTGAATATACCTCTCTCTATGGAACCAGCCTTCCATGGATTATAGAACTCTTCATTCCCTCTGGCTTCAGAAGAAGCATGGACCAATGGTTTACTCCGTCATGGCCAAGAAAGGCAAAAATAGCTATAGGGCTTTTGGAATTTGTGGAAGATGTTTTCCATGGACCTTATGGAAATTTTCTTATGTGTGATACAAGTGCCAAAAACTTGGGATATAATGATAAATATGATTTGAAAATGATGGACATGAGAAAAATTGTGCCAGAAATTAATTTGAAGGAATTAATTAAAGATCGTCAGTGTGAATCAGATTTGGACTGTATTTATGGTACAGACTGTAGAACTCTATGTGACCAAAGCAAAATGAGATGCACCACAGAAGTAATTCAGCCAAACTTGGCAAAAGCCTGTCAGCTACTTAAAGACTATTTGCTTCGTGGTGCTCCTTCTGATATCCATGAAGAACTAGAAAAACAGCTGTACTTGTGTATTGCCCTTAAAGTCACAGCAAATCAGATGGAAATGGAGCATTCATTAATACTCAATAACTTAAAAACTTTACTGTGGAAGAAAATTTCCCATACAACTGACTCTTAGCTTCTCCACCAGCAGATGAAATTGATGCCTGCCACTGGAGGTGGCCTACCACATTTGATTTAAAACAATCTGCAGCATTTTTTAAAGATGTTTCTTTACTCAGACTTCATGAACTCTTGCCCTTCAGTCAGTACCTTACGACAGAGCTTCTCAAAGACCTGCTGCTGGATGATCAGGCAGAGGCCAGAAGCACATCTGGTGTTCAGTGCTGTGTTATGGAAACAAAAGCCCTGCATGCTTGACTGTTCTGTGCACTTTGTCAGATCTTGAACAGGATTATTCACTGTGTCACCACATCAACAGTTCTGTGAAAATCATTGCTCACTTGTGTAATATCTGCAAAAGATTTTTATCTTACGTAGTTTTACGAAGAACCACTGCTACTGCAAATGATGTGTCTGAGTTCAAGCTGCTGTTGTGAATAAACTGAACTGTGAGGCTGAAGTTTACTGATACCTTGGGCATGGCAGAATTTGCACATTAATAATTTTTAAACTCTGGAAAATTAGCATTTGATTCTAGAACTGACAGCTTGTAATATGAGACTTAAACCAGATTTTGTTTACACCTTGTTACCTCATGCTTACATCTTGAATGTTTAAGTAGTTCAATGCTTTTTAAGTCCTTATACAGTGAACCATGTTGGGAGCCAAGAATTCTAGAACATGTTATTTCTTAAAATTGTGTCTATAACCTAGCAGCAATATCAACATCTAATTTAAAAAAATATAATTGTTGTACTTCAGTTGAAAACTTTAACCCAAATTAAGCTGAGGCAAATACTGAAAAGGAGTTTGTAGACTAAGTTATTGTATGAGAACTGAAGTTGATTTTTATAAATACTAATAGCAAAAAGTCCTAACAGTTAAAAAAAGGAAGCTTGCATAATGTAGGAATCTGCTACATTACATGTGAAACAAGGAATAGCTGTGGATTAAGTCTTGACTCTCCTGTACCTCCAAATTTAGCTACACCATCATACTTAAATCCTCTTGAACTGTTGCAGGAAGTGTCTCAGAGCAAGACCTGAACCTTAGGACAAAAGTGGGATTGTGCAGGATCACAGACTGTTGCCTAAATGGCAGCCTGAGACATAGTAACAGGTAGGAATCAGGGTGGAACCTGAGCAGTAACATCCATGAGTTGTGGTTAAGTCTCAAGGCATGAGTCAATAAACACCATCTGATCCTGGCACTCCACATAGGCTGACCACTTTGCCACCTTCAGTCTGCATCTGTTTTTTCTCAGATTTACATCTGTGTTCACAGTTACGCGGAACTGGATGTCTGTAAAACACCTTAATACTGCACTTAACTGTCAATCTCTAATTTATAAATGCTTTAGGTATGAAGTAGTTCAATCCTTAATGATGTTAATAGCAGTCATCTATCCTACTTCTAGATCCTGGCCCCTTAATACACTTTCAGTATAGGTAAGGACAAGCTTTATATGAAAGGTTGTTAATTCCTTGAATGATTGAACTGAAGTACAGGACCAACATAAAGTCATTTTTCCATACCATATGTAATGGTATGCATCTTGGGTTAAGAGTGCACTAGTCTAAAAATCAGCTTTTTAGTTTAAGAATTACTATGCTAATGCTAATTAGCATCTCTAACTTTGTAACACCCTCCAACCATGAGCCAGCAATGCACTCCAAAGTAAAGTGGTCATGTTCTTGGTGGAAAAATCTGACTGTAATTGCTACTAGGTTTTGGGCAGAGATTTAATTTAAAATTATGTCGGGTATTGTAAACAACTGGAAAACATTAATAGTGCAGTTTGTACAGAAACTTCATTTTTATTGCTGTTGCATCAAGTTGGAGCTATCATTGGGAAAAAATACACTTTTGTTTACATTAAATCTTAGGCCTCTCTTTTTCTTTCTGCAGCAGTACTTACCATCTATCAGTATACCTTTATGCAAAACATTCCTTGATGTAGCCTACTTGACTCACATTTCAACTGTGCAAGCACTGTAAATCTAATGAGAAACAAGTAAGTGCCTATGAAACAGATTTAAGAGAAAATAAGGTATCTAGAGCAAGTCAAGGCCTCTGTAAGCATGTATATGCAATTTAAGTGAATTCTCATGTCTAATCACTAAATAATGTCAAGTATTCAGCCTGAGAGTTAGTACTTGTTTCAGTAGCAGCCAGAGCTTGGTACAGAGTGCTGCCGGAAGAAGCTTAAATACTTCCACTAGACGTTTATTCCTGTATCAGCTACACATAAATCACAGTAGGGAAA